AATGCCACCCAACCCCACCTTTCCATTTGATCTTTTCCTCTTCTCCTCCTACTGCTTTTTGCCATCTTCCAGTTCTCAAACACTCAGTTTCTTTATCTTCTATATTCTTCAAACACAGTCTCTCACTAGGATTTATTACTTTTGGCAAGAAGAGGTGAATTGTTGGCATTTCAGGTTCAGGGAGCAACCCTTCGTATAAGCTCTGTGTGCAGAGAAGGAAAGACAAAGAAGAGCCTGGGAAATCGCCTCTTCCCAGATTTCTTCTTCAGAGATTCTTCATTAGATCAAAACATTTCATGTATTTTTTAATTGGAGAAGGAACATAAGCATGTTTAAAAAAAAGACAAACACTAAAGAAAGGTGTGCAACTAGTCTCTCCCTGTATTCATTCACAACCCTCTCCTTACTTCTCAGAGGTAAGCATTTGACATATTTTTTAATCTTGTAGAGTATCATACACATCAGCAAGAGACGTACATACATTTTCTTTTTCTTTTCTTTTCTTACATGAATGTATGGCATGCAGTGTTTTTGTTTACCTTTTCCAATTAACATGTCAACTTTGTCTTTTCACCCACACCAGCACATACAGATCTACCTCAATCATATGCACCTATTTTGTATTCCATTGCATAGATGTGAATGTTTTAAATATGCAGCATATCTCATGTGATACATTTTTTTTTAATTTCATTTATTTATTTTTAAGTAATCTCTACACCCACTGTGGGGCTCGAACTCACAACCCTGAGATCAAGAGTTGCATGCTCTACCAACTGAGCCAGCCAGGCACCCCTCATGTGACATATTCTTTTTTTTTTTAATATTTTATTTTTTTATTTGACAGAGACACAGTGAGAGAGGGAACACAAGCAGGAGGAGTGGGAGAGGGAGAAGCAGGCCTCTGGCTGAGCAGGAAGCCCGATGTGGGGCTCGATCCCAGGACCCTGGGATCCTGACCTGAGCCGAAGGCAGATGCTTAACGACTGAGCCACCCAGGCGCCCCTCATGTGACATATTCTTTTAGGGAAGATCTTCCACAACATTTTAAGTTCTCCATTGAGTTAATGTGAATTTTTGAGATTTGGCAATGATGTCATTGCCAAATTTAAGACAATCCAAATTTCCTCCTATTAAATTACTTTTAATTTGAAGAAATAATTTGAAGAAATCCAAATTTCCTCCTATTAAATTACTTTTTTCTTTATTCTTGTCCTTTAATCTTGTTATTTATTATTATCTTTGGAAATCCAAATCTTTGATCATAGTTCACAAACTAGTAAACCAAATTTGACAGCAGGGGGACTGGACTTGTGATGAAGAAAAGTATAAGTAAGTGGCCATTGACAATGAAGCTCTAGCATATATTAAAACCACCTGTGAAATAATTTGAGTCAATGGAAAAACATAATGTAATTTACCAAAATTCCTAATAGACATTTTTTTGTTTGCTTTTTTTTTGTGTGGTTTTATACCTTTACTTGACAATCAGCGATTAGTTCTCATCCACATTAACTGTAGATTTTTGAAAGTGGTGATAGGTACACAGGTAACCAATGGATAGAGCTTGTTTGGTGAATCTTCATCCTCATATTGTTTTCTGGACAACCACACACAGATGAACATTCCTTATTCCTTTGACCCAGACAGCTTTGTTGAGCCTGGTGTCAATGTGTACATCTGGAGTTCCCACCTCCTTCATGGCAAATTTCCGGATCTCTCTGAGTGCCCGAGGGGCACGCTTCTTGAAACCCACTCATAGATGCACTTGTGAATGTTGATGTGAATGTATTCTCTGGTCAATACCTCGTTGATGGCAGAATGACCCTTCTTCTTCTCGCCACCCGTCTTTGTGGGAGCCATTCTGCTGGGTCCTGGTTGGAAAGGAAGATAGACATGGGTTTTAAAAGCCATGGAAGGATGGGCACCACCCACGCCTTCTACTGGGTGGCTCAGTCGGTTGAGCATCAACTCTTGATTTTGTCTTGGGTCATGATCTCAGGGTTGTGGGACTGAGCCCCATGTTGGGCTCCATGCTCAGCACGGAGTCTGCTTAAGATTCTCTCTCCCTCTGCCCCCCACACCCCTTGCTTGCACTCTCTCGAAAAAAAAAAAAAAGAAAAAAAAAGAACCATGGAAGGAACACTAGAACCTTTACAGACTCATTGTGTCAGACGATGATGAGAATGATGACAACAGTGATGACCGCAAAGACTGGCCACATCTAGGTTCTTAGGGGTAAAATAATCATCTTTTGTAAAAAAAAAAATTTTTTTTAGTGTGTGAATCAGTGAATATTTAAAATTTTATGATAGGTTTAGAAAATCATGCTAAGAAAAGGGGAAAATAATCTGTAAAAAGATTACTTGAAATGTCATGGGATTACCATTTAACAAATGACATTCCTGTGTCAGGGAAAGGGTCTGATCTTTCCCTCCTTCTGCTTTATACTTCCACTGGAAGAATTTTTATAAGCATTCAAAAATCTTAAGATAATAACGGGTTCAGATTTTCAAATACATACATAAACAATATATCCATACATAATAATGCACAGAAAGGTATTCTCTAAGATTAAGAGTGTTAGATCTAAATTTACTTGTTATTTTTGGCATCTAAAGTTGTGTCTTGCACATGGTGGATACTTAAAATACAGATGAATTTTGATTTGATTTTATTCTTACGGGTGGATCTTGGGCCAGGATCGACACCTTGCTAGAATCTAGAAGTCATATTCCAAGCAAGGTCATACCATTAGTCTGAGTTCTCATGAAGACTACAGAGAATAACGTTTGAGAGCTAGCTCACTTGAAGACGACTACAAGGAACTTTTAGGTTTACAGTGTGAAATTCTTTCAAGAGTTTCTCTTCCTTTCTTTTCCACGAATTTTTTTGAGGTTTCTGAAACCCATTCCTGACAGCAATAATGATAGTGCTGAGAAACAAAGTACTACAGTTAAAACAAAACAAACAAACAAAACCCATAACAATTGGTTTTCCAATGTGCTTGCCATGAGAATCTCTCACTCATTTTTTTTTTTTTAAAGATTTTATTTATTTGATAGAGAGAGAGACGAGGAGAGAGGGAACACAAGCATGGGGAATGGGAGAGGGAGAAGCAGGCTTCCCACAGAGCAGGGAGCCCGATGCGGGGCTCGATCCCAGGACCCTGGGATCATGACTTGAGCCGAAAGCAGACGCTTAACGACTGAGCCACCCAGGCGCCCTCTCACTCATTTTTTAAAAGTTGAAGTAAATTGATGTTAAATTATAGATTTTCAAAAGTGTAAAGGTCTTTCAAATTTATTTAGTCTACTCTCAAGAAAAAATTCTTCAATCCTCCCCACACCGTTGATATATTATTCTATTTCCGCTAAGTACTGAACTTCTCAGCAATGTCTTCTCCAGACAGAACTGGGTATAAAGGGCTGAGCAATCTTCAAGACTTAGAACTAGAACTTAGAACTAGAGCCATCCACTACTTCAGTGATGGCAGGGGTAGATGTCACGTACTAGACTCATCTGCTGGTACTGGGAGAAAATTCAGACTGGCTGGCAGAACCCAGACTCTCACAATTACAGTAACCTGTAGTAAGTACGGAGTGATCATTGGTATCTGGGAGATCCATGATTGGGGGAGCACAGTGGTGGCAACCCCAGGAGGTAGTGTTTGGAGACACAAGCTGATAGGATAATCAGGTCAGGATGCGGCTCAGTCTGTAATGAGTTTCAGGGGCAGGGTTGCAAACCACATATCTGGTCTATAGAGCCCCTAAACCTGACCTTACACCTGCAGCTCTGCCCTCATGATGTGCCAACTTCCTTCTCACCTTTAATGTTCCATCACTTTGGCTTTCTTTCCAACCACAGACTGCTAAGTTCCCTTGCACCCCAGGGCCTTGCTCATTCACATTTATCCTTAAATGTCCTCTCCTTACAAAGGCTTTCTCAGGATACTCTCTACCACGTGATTCCACTTTAATTACTTTCATAACCTTGAGGAGTTTCCTCCTCATTATCTATCCTCGCTAGTACAAGCTCAATGAAAGGAAGGTCTCTGTCTTGTTCCTTATTGTACCCAATAATACCAGGCACTTTTATAGGTTCTATCATATTCTGGGAGCTTATTAAACATTTAAATGAATGATTGAATGAAAAATGAACTCATTAAAACTGTTAACAAATGAATTACTTTAGCTGGGATAGGAGAGTGACAAGATGGAAGTTTCTGTAACTAAAAATATTTGAAGCCAAATCCTTGATGAAATAACAGGAGCTAGGGAGGAGCTGTCACCAGATGCAAAAGTCTTAATAAATGAAGGGAATGAACTCAGATGGCAGGAGTGAGGAGGGGGAGGAGGTTGTGCTGAATAGCTTGAGCCTCAGTGGAGAATAAACTGTTAGAAGAGAACAGAAAAGCCTGGGTTTGGACATTGTAATGGGAGAATGCCAGCCAACCCTCCCTCTTGTTTTGAGAAATGTGTTACTCAAGAAGACAGAAGGGCACATTTTAGTTACATTACAGGTAAGGGAGAGTTGGATAAAGCCATCTGCGTAAAGGTTGTGGATATAGTGAGATTTGTTCATGACGGTATATAGAAAGTGTGGAGCAGGGAGGCAACATCTTTAGGAGATGTGTGGTGGGATTAAAGAAGAGTCTAGCAGTAAGAGGGACAGAGTCAGCTGAGGGACAAGGGAAGCAAAAAAAAATTTTTTTTTTGAGGTGTAGAAATAAAGCAGAAATGACATGCCTCAAATAGGGAGCTTGGCTGCAAGTTTACAGGAAGCCTGGCAGTACCCTGTTTAATCTCAGAGAAGAGGGCCCTAACTGTCCTGTATGACAATTTGGACTCACACAGAGAGAACAGCTTTTCATCAAAATGCTACAGAATGGTGGTTTTGTACCAGGTACTGGTAGTGGGAGGGAGCTATGTCGTCCAGGTAGTGACAGTGTTAGGACATACCTGGGGGACTAAGAGGCAGAAGCCAGTACACTATGTTCAGTCTAACGCCCTGTGGGAGATCAGAGGAGAGAACAGTCAGTGTGAACGAGGCTGGTGATTCTGTCCAGAAGGGGCACAGGAAGAGGACAGAAGATCGTGGGCGTCCTAGAACTTGAGCTGGGCTTTGTTGTGATTTAGCTTATGAAAGAGAAACCAGGAATTTGTCCTCGAGTAATGTTTCCTGTAACTGCCTAGTTTTTTTGTAATCGTTTGGGTCTGAGAGTTGGCTTCGGAAGGAAGGTGGCTGCAGTAGGGGAAAATCTGGCGTTTTCCGTTTACGCCAGTAAAATTTAATACACTCTTATCGGGTAGCTGCACTGAATCAGGAAGGGTAAGTGAGGGAAGTCCCTGGTTTCTCATCAGTTGGGTGGAAACAAAGGTAACCATTCCATGGAGTCTCTCCTCAGTCAGGTTCCTGAATTGTGAGAAGAAGGTCACGAGTGATCTTGAGAGGTCAATGGGTGTATCGGCCAGAGTTGGTTTGCTTGAAATAAGAAAGCGAAAGCTCACGGAGGCCCAAGAAGTCCCCTTCCCCCCTGTCAGGAAGCTGCCGCTGAGCAGAGTGGAAAGCCCTAGACCTCAGCCCACGCAAACCGCTGGAGGAGCAGGGCCGTGAAGACGCAGAAGCTTCCAGGCCTGTCCACGGCGCCCCGGGGGGTATGAGGCCCATGGATAAGTTGTGGACGGTGCTAGACGTGCACCTCAAGCATCACAGCACGCTGGGCTACGGCCTGGTGACCCTCCTGACGGCGGGCGGGGAGCGCCTGTTCTCCACCGTCGTGTTCCAGTGTCCCTGCAGCGCCACCTGGAACCTGCCCTACGGCCTGGTCTTCCTGCTGGTGCCGGCGCTGGCCCTCTTCCTGCTGGGCTACCTGCTCAACGCGCGCACCTGGCGCCTGCTGACCGGCTGCTGCGCGCGCAGCGCCCGCCCGCGGGGCTGCGGCGCGGGGCTGCGGGGCGCGCTGGTGTGCGCGCAGCTCAGCTACGCCGCCGCGCTCGCGCCGCTCACCTGGGTGGCCGTGGCGCTGCTCGGCGGCGCCTTCTACGAGTGCGCCGCCAGCGGGAGCGTCCCCCTGGCGCGGCGCCTGTGTCGGGGCCGCGAGCCCACCTGCGAGGCCCAGCTGCCGCTGGCGCCCTGCCGCCAGGCCCGGGAGTCCGACGCGCAGGACCTGCTGAAGGAGCTCAAGGCCCAGTCGCAGGTCAGCCGTGGGGAGCGCGGGAGAGGGGCCGGGGGAGGTGCAAGCGGGGTGCCCTGGCTCCAGACGCAGGGCGCGGGAAGACAGACTAGCCTGGCGGCGATTTCAGTAACACGAATGAAAAGGAGGGAAGGCGCGCGGACAGCTGCAGGCTCCTGCTGTGGGCCGGATACCGCGCCAGGCCCTTGACCTCCGATCCCGCATTATCCTCTTGATACACCATGTGCAGGTCGAGGTGTCTGTCCAGCCGGAAGAAAGCAGATTTGTTACAATGAAATGGGTTGTCCTGGCTCTAAAGCCACCACCCCACCCTGCTGCTGGGCATATAAAGCCCAGAGGTTCTTGAAAATGAATGCTTGTTTCTTTGGATCTGCCGAAATTCCACGTTTTGAATTCTAGCGGAGTGATATATAGGCCCCTCTCTGGGCCCTTGACATGACTTGGGAAATGAGCTGTCAAGCAGTTCTACCGAGGGGTTTGGGAGGTTACAGGCACTTCTTTCTCCTAAGAGACTAAGACCTACAACTGTTGCTTGATCATCATCATCACTGTGAGTAGTTCAAACTCTATGTAAGAAGTTTTAAATTTGGGGGCGCCTGGGTGGCCCAGTTGGTTAAACGTCGGCTTAGGTCATGATTCCAGGGTCCGGGGATGGAGCCCTGGGTGAAGCTCCCTGCTCAGCGGGGATTCTGCTTCTCCCTCTCCCTCTACCCCTAACCCCTGCTCGTGCGTGTGCCCTCTCTCTTGCGTGCGTGTGCACTCTCGCTCTCAAATAAATAAAATCTTTTTTAAAAAGGATTTTAATCTTTTTTTTTTTTTTTTTTTAATAAAAAGTGTGACTAAATTGCTGTTTTGTTGTGTTTTCCTAAGGTGCTGGGCTGGATCCTGATAGCAGTTGTCATCATCTTCCTTCTGATTTTTACCTCTGTCTCCCGATGCCTATCTCCAGTTAGTTTTCTGCAGTTGAAATTCTGGAAAATCTATTTGGAACAGGAGCAGCAGATCCTTAAAAGTCAGGCCACAGAGCATGCAACGGAATTGGCAAAAGAGAATATTAAATGTTTCTTTGAGTGCGCACATCCGAAGGAATCCAACACCCCCAGCATTAAAGACTGGCAGCAAATTTCATCACTATATACTTTCAATCCAAAGGAGCAGTACTACAGCATGTTGCACAAATATGTTAACAGAAAAGAGAAGAGTCATAGTATCAGATCTAACGAAGGAGATGCAGTGATTCCTGGTCTTGGCTTTGTAGATACACCTGGTATGAACATTACTGCTGGGTTATGACCTTATTAATGAATACGGGGAAAGTTCTTTTGAGTTTTCGCTTCCGGGGAAAGTTCTTTTGAGTTTTCGCTTCATTAAAAAAACACAAACTTTGGTATTGTTTGTGACTGCTCTTTTTTCGATTTCTCAAATTGTGGAAACAATTTTAAATCAAATAAAAAATTAGAACTTTACCTATGTATTAGATTAATTATAAAAAAGGAAGCAAAGTCTAGTGATTCACTCAAAGTGACAAACTGGAACTAGGTCAGAAGTTTTATATACCTAGTCTACGGTCCTTTTCACTGTATAATAGTGCTGTCAAATAAAAGACTTCAATAGCAAAAACTGAAAGAACAAATGAACTTCTGACCTTTCTTTTAGGTTATCTGATGTTAATTTCAAATTCACTGTCTTGCAGATAACACCTTATTTGGAACATTAAAATACTGGCATTTTACGGCTCTAATGTGGTTGCTGAACAAAAACCCAAAATATTATCCCCAAAAAAGAAAGTAAAATTAAAAAATACAAGATATGAAAAACTAGGATAATTGCAAGCAAAACTGTTGGTTTTTGCTTGCAGGATCGGAGGGAAAATTTTAAAGCATTTTATCATGGGGAATTTCAAATATGCCCAAAAGTAGAGAGGACAGTGTTATGAACCCCTGTAGAGTATTACACAGCTTCGACAGAGTACAGAAGTCCGATAAAACCCACACCATACAAATAAATATAGAAATACAGATTGTGACCTGGTTTAGAGTATGGGAGGGGACTAAAGAAATCTGTGAGAAACTGCAACCCGAAAAATAGCAGAGCATTTCCGTTTGCACAACAGCATGGAAAGGACTGAGGTCAGAAAGATCTTAGCACAGTTGGAAGCCTTAAAGGTGACCAGAAGAGATGAAGCAAGGGACAGGTCATGCAGCTCCTTGAAGTCATGCAAAGGAGTTTGGTATTCATGCCATGAGCAATTTAGGAAGATTGTTCTGATATTCTTGTGGAAAAAGCCATGGCGGGGAAGAGGGAGAGCCAACATGGAAATGGAGAGACTGATCAGGGCGCCCCTGCAACGAAAAGAGGTGGGAGTGAACTTGAACTGGGTTGATGGTGATGAAAACAGAAGTAGAGAGGTTCAAGGTGGATTTTGATCACAGACATGATAGGCTTTGTTGATGGAGAGGATGCAAAGATTTATTGAGAACAATAGCGTCTGTAGACAAAATTCTGTTGCTTGACAATACCAGGGGACATTAGATTGTCATTTGTGCACATCTCCCAAATTTATGGCTGTTTTGTATATTTTTAAAAAGAAGGCATGAAAATTGTAAACTGTAAAGGAATTGAGCACTGGTTCTATTTAGCCCTTCTTCCCCTCTCGACAGTTCTCTGTGTTGGCCTCTATTTGCCCTTTGTTGCACAGGATCATTTAAAAGAACTAACCAGTCAGCAGAACTGAATATCCTGTTGTGGAAACCTATTGCGGAGTCATATAGTACACGAAAGTTGACAGCAGAAACTGCATGATCAGTTTCTTTCTATGCTTACTTTTATTTTGCTTCCTTTATTTCATTTTCCCATTTTTTTTGTATATTCTTCTCTTTCAGTATCCCCCCTCACCCCAATCCATCCCTGGTCTGCCATTTGTCCTTCCATCTTCAAAAGTATAGTCTCCATTTTGTCGACTTAGGCTCCACTTTCTCTTGCACAATATTAATTATTGTTAAAGTATATATGCTTAAGAGAAAACACGATAATGGTAGAGAGCTGTGCGAAGTAAAAAGTACCTCACTCCTTTGCAATATATTTTTACCAGAGGAAGTCATGTACTCTGTGTCTACACAAATATTATCGTACTCTAAATGTGGTTATGCAACTTTTTCACATAAAATATCATTGTTCCATATCCATATGTAACAATTCCCCTCATAAAAAAATTACTGCACGGTGTTCTACTGATTAGTGGGATATGATCCCTTTTTTGTTAAAAAATACACATGCAAATATGCACATGCGTTCATATAAAGTATATACATAAAGTCTATAAATCTGTCAATTTTGGTCAATTCTCAAGACTAAGGGAGAGGCAGAGGAATGAGGCAGAGGAATTTTTCTTTAAACTTCATGTGTTTTTGATTTTTTGATTTTTTTTTTTTTTTGGTAATGAATGATAAATGTTACCTGTATAATTAGAAAAGGTTAAAAAGAACCCTTACAAACGTGTAGGGCTTTGCAGTCTACAGGAAGTTTTATGTTTCTCTTCATTTCTGTTTCACAAGTCTGTGGGATACCCGGGAAGCCCATCACTCACACTTCCAAGTGAGGAATTGAAGGTTAGAGTGGTTACATTACCAGTCCAAGGTCATACAGTCAGTTGAAGGTGGAACTAAAGCCAGGGGACTGAGTCTATCTGGATCACATGGTTCAAAGTGGCCACTTAGTGTTTTTATTAGTGGGCCAGGTTTTTCCCTTTTAAGCCCACCTGCCCTCATGGGCAGAAAAGATGCAGATGTTCTTAGTGACTCTTAGTATTTTTCATCTTGTTCAGGAACTTGTCAACTGCTGATAGATGAGACCACTTTGAATAAACATAATGATATCAGGACACAGCAGTTAGTTCATGGTGGGAACACGGTCACCACTGTTTGGTAGGACACACTACTCTGAGAAGCCTGGCCCCAGATGGACACATCATGGGCTCACAAGCATTTCTACACTTGGTGTATACAGTGGATCCTTGAACAATTGGGGCTTAGAAGGGCTGACCCCCACACAGTCGAAAATCCATGTATAACTTTTGACTCCCCCCAAACTTAACTACTAATAACCTATTGTTGACTGGAAGCATTAATGATAACATAAACAGTCGGTTAACATGTATTTTGTATGTTCTATGTATTATTTGCTGTAGTCTTACAATAAAATAATCTAGAGAAAAGAATGTTGAGAAAATCCTAAGGAAGAGAAAATATATTTACAGTATTGTACCATATTGAAAAAATCTGCACATAGGTGGACCTGTGCAATTCACATCTATGTTGTTCCAGGGCCAACTGTATTTATTTGCCTGCTCACCAAATGATTCTTTATAATCACCCTGACTTCATGCCGCCCTAAAGGCTTAACTTTAGAAGAGATTCAGACACGGGACCTGCTAATAATATTTGCTTTGAAACAACCATATTGTTCTAAGAGATGATTCTGCACTGTGATGAGTTCGGTAAGATGATACAATTTACAGAGCATGATAAGAGGAGGCGTGGTCTCTTTGCTCCTCTCAAAGCCATGTGTACATATATCAATCAATGTTCTACAGACTGATTAAAGAAGCAAGCCCTGGGGAAGCATCTGCAAATAGACTTAGCCCCCTACACAAATGTCTCTGGCTGGAAAACATCTCGAAACCCCTAAGTTTCACAACACCTTATCTACCAGGTGGCCTATTGTAAAGAACTCTTCCTAAGACGAAAGATGGAGAAACGCTCCCTGAGTCAGCCCCAGCTGCGGCCGCCACCGTCTGTTTCGTCAGTGGCAAACTCCCACTGAGTGCCTATCATGTGTCAAACACTGGGTCTGCCCTGCAAGCTAAGCCTTCAGTTGATCTTTTGTCTCTACCTCTTCATTGCCTCCTTATGAAATCTCTCTTGTGAATTGCAATGTAAGGACCGTGGAATTGATTATATGACATTCTTATCTAAGGCAAGAAAACGGAATCAAAAAAGGGATACGGTCTGTCAAGACCCTTTGCCACAAGGAACAAAACATTAAAAACTTCCAAATGAAAGAAATTTCTATAAGATTGGGCAATTTATTGTCATTTAAAAAATTGTGGAATATCCAACACAGCGAAGAGTATATGAAACATTTGTGTACATTTTACAGAATAATTACACGGTGAACATCTATGTAACCACTGCAGAGGGGAAAGAAAGAAAACATCTCCAGCACCCCAGAAAATGCCTGCTCCAAGTGTCACTCTACAGTCTTCACTCTCTCTGCCTAAAAGTGGTGTGTGTGGTGGGGGGCAGGGAGGCTGTGATCATTTCCTTACTTTTATTATAGTTTTACCACCTATGTATGCATTCCTAAATTATTAATGGTTAGTTTTGTCTGTTTTTGAACTTTATATGAATGAAAACATTCTCTAATCAATTCTCTAAGAATTGTTTTTTATCTTTTTTGTTTTTATTTGATGGATTCATCCACAGTATGTCTAGAACAACTTACTTATTTTGATTGCTGGATAGTATTCTACTACATGAATATACCACAATCCAGTTATCCATTTAACTACTGATGGACATTCGGTTTGTTCCCAGTTTCTGGCTCTTAGAAGCAATGCCGGAGTGAACCTTCATGTATTTGAATTCTAGTAGACACGTGCAAGTGTTGCTTCAGGATGTGTTCTTGGAACAGATGGAAGCGTGAAGGCATAGACGTATTCCAGCTTGCTAGATAATATCAAATGTGTGCCATAAGGGGTGTACCAATCTATATTACTATGAGAGTTCCTTCTGTTTCTCACCTCTGCAACACTTGGTATTTCCAATTATTTACTGTTTGTCACTCTAGTGAGTATGTAATGGTATTTCTCATTGTGTGTGTGTTTTAAGATGTTAAAAATTTATTTATTAGAGAGAGCGAGAGAAAGAGCAATCAAGAGCAGGGCGAGGAGCAGGAGGGGAGAGAGAGGGAGGGGTAAAGAATCCCAATCAGACTCTGCACTGAGCTCAGAGCCCGACGGGGGTGGTAGGGGAGTTCGATCTCACAACCCTGACATCATGACCTGACCTGAAACCAAGAGTTGGACGCTTAATTAACTGACTGAGCCACTCAGGTGCCCCTCTCATTGTGTTTTTAATTGGCATCTTCCTGACCATTAAAGCTTTATGGCATCTTTTCCTAGGTTTACTAGTCATTTGGATATCCTCTTTTATGAAATGCCTGTTTAAGGCTTTTGCCCATTTTTTTTTCCTATTTAGATTGTCATTTTCCTATTGATTTATATTATTTCATTGTTATTCATCCACTTAGACTAACAAATATTTATTGAGTGCTTGCTTTGTTCTGGGCATGTTCTAGGTACTTGGGATACATCCGTGAAACAACAGC